AGACTCCCTGCCGAGCAGGGAGCCCGATGCGGGACTCGATCCCGGGACTCCAGGATCATGACCTGAGCTGAAGGCAGTCGCTTAACCAACTGAGCCACTCAGGCGCCCTACGTGGAGCACTCTTGAAAACTGCTAGACTAGCTGACTTTTAGAGCTGATTCTGACTTTAAAATTTTGTTTTTTTTTTTTAATTACAGCATAAGCTATTTTTCAAGTTCTTATTTTTAGGTTGATGCTCGAAGTGACCGAACTGGGGAGGTTATCTTTAAAGACAACTTTTCTTCTGCAATTGCTGGTGTGCTGGAGGGAGATTACCTGATGGATGGCCACACACAGCTCATCTGCTGCGCAGTGGACGGTGAAAGTAAATTGGGATGGGAAAAATCCTTGAAAAATCAGATTTTCAATTTGATTGGGTCAGTATACCAGGAAATTTCACTATAAAGTGTTTGTATGGATATCCTCGCATCCTAATAAAGTCACCTTGTTGGGGGGGATGAGAACTTAGGTTTTTGGTTTTTAAGAACAGACAGTTGATGATTTAAAAGTAGGGCTGGCTATGCCGGGGTATTCTTCCATGTGGTGAGGGTTTTTTTCCTGTTGCGCAGTCCGGGGCTACCTGCCAGGCACAGCGGAGATGAGAGGGAACCTCATGGACACCAGTGTAGAGCAGGACCTGATCCGAGAGCTGAGTCAGAAAAAACAGAATCTGTTGCTGGAACTCCGCAACTATGAGGAAAACGCCAAGGTAGGTCCTCATGGAAATGGAAATTTTCCTTAGGGGAAGTGGGAGTCTGGAGGGGTGGGAATGGCAAATGTGAAGGAAGACTGAGTGTCAGCCCCTCCTGCCCACTGGCGGAAGCACGGATTGCTTTGGCCTTTTTGCCAGGGTCAGAGGGGAGAGGGCACGTATCCTTTAATCTGGAAATCCCACTTCCATGCAGCTGAACTATAGAAATATTTGCACACGTGTTCAAGGACATTTACGGTAGCACTGTTTGTGGTAGTGAACAGTTGGAAGCAACTGAAGGGTTGATCAGTAGTAAGGAGTGTGCTGGAGGATATGAAGCAGCTCAGGAGAATGAGGCGTATGTAGTTGGACTGATATGGAAGGATATCTGTGGCCTTACTGAGTGAAAAAATGCAAGAACAATATGTATAGAGTATCTCTTACCTTTTTCAAAAACAAATAACAAAAGTTGACAACCACAAAACCTCTGTGTGTGTGTGTGTGTGTGTGTGTAGGTAGCAAGCTGGCTGGAGGATGAGCTGGGAGGTGGGACTTTAATTTGTCTTGTCATGGGAAATTGTATTTGAATTTATTATTAAGTGAATTAATTTTGCTAGTTTAAAAGAATAACCCCAGGGGTGCCTGGGTGGCTCAGTCGTTAAGCGTCTGCCTTCGGCTCAGGTCACGATCCCAGGGTCCTGGGACCGAGCCCTGCATCGGGCTCCCTGCTCAGCGGGAGGCCTGCTTCTCCCTCTCCCACTCCCCCTACTTGTGTTCCCTCTCTCATTGTCTTTCTCTGTCAAATAAATAAATAAAATCTTTAAAAAAAATAAAAATAAAAGAACAACCCCCAAACTATAAAAGGCATGGTGGGGTACGGTGAACCTGAACCACAGAAGGGGACAGGGAATTTTTCCCTTGGGAAGAGGCTGGGTAGAGAAAGGGAGTGATAATGAGGTGAGCCCTCTGAATTCTAAAGAATCAGATTAATATCAGATGGTTGGGAGTCAATCTTTTGAAGCCGAATAACCATATTATTTAAAATTGACATGAGTTCACTGCTTTGGTGACTGAGTTGGAAGTGGGGGCATGTTTCACAGGCTGAACTGAGCAGTCCACAGAGTGAGGCTGATGGACCTCGGGGTATCATCCCAGCCAATACCAAGCTGCACACCGCCCTCTCGGTCAATCTGGGGCATGAGACCCAGGCTGCTCATGCGGAATTGTGTATTTCCACCTCTAACGGTAAGAAATTATTTATAGCTGGTGTCCGTGGATACCTTTGCCATCTTGGAGTGGTTCTTGAACTGCTGTTTTCTTTCTTCTCTGTAGACACCATCATCCGAGCTGTATTGATTTTTGCTGAGGGAATTTTTCTAGGTGAAAGCCATGTGGTACACCCCAGCATTCACAACCTTTCCAGCTCCATCCGCATCCCAATTACACCTCCCAAAGATGTCCCTGTGGATCTGCACTTGAAAACCTTCGTGGGTTACAGAAGCAGGTGACTCTTTGCAATCACAGTTCATTTCTAGCCAGCACTTAGAGGAGGGCAAATGGGTACATTTTCTGTTGTGCCATGGATTTTGGGGGGGCCAGAGGAGCCATTTGATGGTTCTACCCACCCAGGCAAGATTTCCCATGACCTTTCCTTCCCTTATTTGAAATCTTTCAAAAATAAAAAAGGGCATTTTATACCCTTGGTGCATGTCTGTGTGTATGTATAAGACTCATGTTCTCGCTAATCCCAAACCCCATTACTGTAGTAGTACTTAACTCTCAAGGTTTTTGGGTTTTTCTCCTTCAGTGAAACCCGTAAATAACTCGATGACCCAGTAGTGACTTCATAGTTATTTTCTGGGCCTTGCATTTTGAAATAATATTCCACGCAACCCATTTCTCTTCTTGTGCTCCGTTGGTTGACCATAGCACCCAGTTTCATGTGTTTGAACTGACAAGACAGCTTCCCCGCTTCTCCATGTATGCGCTGACCAGCCCTGACCCTGCCAGAGAGCCACTCAGCTATGTCAACTTTGTCATTGCAGAACGGGCACAGAGGGTGAGTGTCAGGCTTTTCTCTCTCAATGTTTTTGCACTTTAGAACCCTTTGGATGTTCTTTCATAGGAGGGGGAAATGACATGAATGAGTTATTTGGTAGCAGTAATTATGACATGAAAGAGGTAGGTAGTTTGGCGCTGGCTTATAACCTGTGATGAAAACACTGCTAGAATACCTCCTCTCACTTTGAAAAAACACATACCTTATTTACTTGAGCAATCCTTAGTTACAGGTAAATTCTCACCAGCTTCGAATTCCTCTCTTTCTTTTGTCATGGTCTTGGTGTACTTGTCCTGACGCAGTGTTCTAGGAGGAACCCGCTTCAGAATGGAAAGAGAGTGGGAGTTGGAGCTGGGAACATTTTGGGTTCAGATGCTACCTTAACTAATTAAATTCTTTGTGATATTCTTAGTGCTGTCAGCTCTCACCAGTCTGGGCCTCAATGCCCTTATCTGTAAGGGAGGAGGGTTCCACCTCACAGGGGGCCCCTGCAGATTACAAACTTGGTGTGACAGTACCTTATACAGGGTAAGAGACTAATACTAGTGGCCTTTAACCTTGGCTGGACTTGAGAAATCTCAGGGAGGTTTGTAGTCACGTAGATTCTAATGTAGATTCTTACGTGGACCTTGTGCTGCTATCCGTGTAAGTACTGCTCTTGTTACGAATATTAAAACTTACTTTTTACTTATTGTGTGGGTGTATCTCTGTGTCTGTCTCTCATGCGTTTGCATGCATACTTCATTTTAAATTTTGTTTAAAGGATGCAATGGAATAGTTTGTCCAGGATATAGCCACAGAAGAGCTATTGTATAAACAGACTTAGCATCATACCCGAAGCGTTCCTACATTCCATATAAGATTATGTCTACACTGAAAATGCTCTAAAGTCATGCATGCTGTGGGGCCAGACATTATGAATGTTACTTAAGATCATGTATGGGGTGGGAAAAAGGAGTGTGATTAGTGTGTTCTTGGTGGGAGGGGGTGTGAAGTATAATTCTTTTTTTTTTTTTAATCAAGCAATAAATCTAGAAAGAAGGGTAATTCTTAAGAATGACTGTCCTTTAAAAATGGAAGTTCATTTCATCCTATTAATTTTTAAGGTTGTTATATGGCTCAACCAGAACTTCCTGTTACCAGAAGACACTAACATTCAAAATGCTCCATTTCAAGTGTGTTTCACTTCCTTACGGAACGGTGGCCAGCTGTATATAAAGATAAAGCTTAGTGGAGAGGTAACGTTTACTGTCACGGGCATAGATTTCTTATGGACTGTTGACCATTCAGTGCAAGGTAAGGTGGGTGGCACCAGTCTCAAGGTTGTAAAACCATGTGTTTCAATGTAGTCTGTTATTGTTAATTGTTTTAGACACTGGGGTGTAATCTAGAATGGTGGTGTTCTGTCTTCCTCCTTTCAGCCCTTCCTTGTCTAAGTTGGGAAGAGATGGGAATACAGAGGTGAACAAAAACATTTTCAATGTTTGAATGATTTTGTTGTTCAGTTTACAAGGCCAGATGATTGATCTTTTAGCCGGCTGCTAGAAGTGTGACTCACCTGGTTTGTAATTTCCTCCAGGGCTAACCCCTGTCTTATTTACCGCAACATTTAGGTTCAGTAAATATGTTGAATATGGGGAAATTCTGATACTGTTTCAGCTGGGTTTGTCTTTAGCATTGAGGATGCTAAGCTCGTCTCTTTTTTTTCCCCTGGATAGATCACTGTAAATACTGATGATATTGATTTGGCTGGTGATATCATCCAGTCGATGGCATCATTTTTTGCTGTTGAAGACCTTCAAGTAGAAGCAGATTTCCCTGTCTACTTTGAGGAATTACGAAAGGTGCTAGTTAAGGTGAGGTCACCCACTGGATGCATTTGTGAGAATGTGGTAGTGTCATAATATTTGAAATGTTTCTCTTAGGAGATGAATGATACCCCAAACGTGTGTATGTTATAATGACAGTCACGTTTTAAAGAATTTTTGAGAATTGTTAAACTTCAGCTAGTTTTATTTTATTTTTTTTATTGTTATTTATTTATTTTTTTAAAGATTATTTATTTATTTATTTGACAGGGAGACAGTGAGAGCAGGAACACAAGCAGGGGGAGTGGGAAAGGGAGAAGCAGGCCTCCCGCCGATCAGGGAGCCCGATGCGGGGCTCGATTCCAGGACCCTGGGATCATGACCTGAGCCGAAGGCAGACGCTTAACGACTGAGCCACCCAGGCGCCCCCTTCAACTAGTTGTAGAGGGCTCACTAGTTAGAGGATTTCTTTTATAAAAGTGAGCGGTTTAGCTCTAGACCACCCTGCTTTATTTGGTTTAGGGGAATACTTTTTAAAAATACGTCACGTTAACCTTTTCCTTTGCTAGCCCCTTCACTTATCTGTTGTAGTTACGTTGCTGTGTTGGTTCAGTGCTTTCCAACAACCCAAATTCAAAAGAAAAAAGCAAAGGATTGTGACTGGCCCTAAATCATAACCATATTCTTACCCCAGATCTCTAAAATATTATGTATGTTGCTAGGGCTCCCAGTGGTAAGACATGGAAAGATCCAGATGAAATGTCATCGTGCATGTTGGAGGCAGCGTAGACTAATTATTTCATTGATGAGGAAGTGAAACAGTGGGGGACAGTCGAGATGGTACAGGTAAATAGGGGAAAGAGAAGGGCCTCAGTGTATGGCAGAGAGTGTCTTCTCAATCTGACTAGTTTTCAACAAGTCTGTGAGGTCTTTTTAATTCCTGAGTGTTCACGGTCTTCAGGTGGATGAATATCATTCAGTGCATCAGAAGCTCAGTGCTGAGATGGCTGATCATTCTAACCTGATCCGAAGTTTGCTGGTCCGAGCTGAAGATGCTCGTCTGATGAGGAACATGTGAGTATTTACCAGGCTAGGACAGGTGCAAGGTTAAAAATATCAGTAATATGGAATAGTAACTCTCAAATGCTACCGGTAGGAGTGTAAATTGGTACAGTGACTTTGGAGAATAAATTGGCATTGTTAGTGAAGTTGGAAATGGGCATTCTCTATGACCCAGTAACTCTACTCCTGGTTTATAACCTAGAGAAACTTGTGTTGACATATAAACCAGGATATTTGTACAAGAATGTTCATAAGTATCCCAAAGTGGAAACAGACTAAACTGGCATCAACAATATAATGGCTGAACTATGGTATAATTGCCCAGTGGGCTATGACATGCAATGAGAATGCATCTATCTCGATGACATGTGACAACATGGACAAATCTTAGAGGCATAATGGAGATTGAAAGGAGTAAGGCTCGAGAGAATGTGTACAAAATGCTTCCTTTTATATAGCTGGGAAACACAACACTAGAGTATATCATTTGGGAAGCATACCAAGATGAAGAATCTCTAAGGAAATGCAGGGAAGAGATTATCATCTAAGACAGTATTCTCTCTTAGGGCAGGAGGGACTGTGTTCAGAAAGAGCCTGTCGGGGAGCTTCAGGGATGTGGCAGTGTCCCGTTTCTGGGCCTGGTGTACAAACATTCGTTCTGTGAACTTTTCCGAATGTGTATTACATTTTACAGTAAAACCGTTAAAGATGTGCAGATGTAGCTTCTTGCAGAATTTATCTTGGCATTCAGAGTGACTGAGGTGGAGATAGTAAAATCAGTAACCAGTGGTAGATGAAGTTTCTGTGCCTACATTACAGGCAAGAGTTTGCCCGGGGCGGCAGCTTGTCTTTTTCCTGAAAGGCCTGAGTTATTAGCATATATTAAAATGGTGTTGCTCAGAAGTAAGTGATTTTTGAAATAATCATATTGTTGAAAATTTCAAACACATACAAAAGCAGATTAAGTAATACAGTGATTTCCTATATACTTGCCACCTGGCTTCAGTAGTCGTCACCTACTGGCCCCTCTGGTCTTTTTGCTGCGCTCACCTTCTTCCTCTCCCAGGCACTGGGCTAAATTTGGAAGCAAATTCTAGACATTATATCCTTTCAGCCATAAATATTCTGGATAGTGAGCCTTTAAAAAAAACAATAACCACATTATCACACTTAGGAAAAGAATTTCTTTTTTTTTTTTTTAAAGATTTTATTTATTTATTTGACAGCGAGAGAGGGAACACAAGTGGAGGGGGCGGGAGAGGGAGAAGCAGACTCCCTGTTGAGCAGGGATCCCCATGCGGGACTCGATCCCAGGACCCTGGGATCATGACCTGAGCCGAAGGCAGATGCTTAACCAACTGAGCTACCCAGGCGTCCCAAGGCATGAATACTTCTTAAGCGGTGCTTTGTACTTCCATGAGGGAGCGTATAATGCCTGGCTGTGTCTTTCTATTCTATTACCAGTCATTGATGACCATTGCCTAGATCTATTATTTCTTTTGGAGTTTGCAAAAACAGTGATATTCTGTTACTTTCTCTTCATTTTTTAGCTAAAATACTTCTATAAAGCATAACCCTTATGGATTAATGACCATTTGGTTCCCTGAGGTATTGTTTGTAAGGAAAGACAGATTATTTATCAGCTTTAAAATAATGAGTAGGGGGTGCCTGGGTGGCCCAGTCGGTTGAACATCCAACTCTTGATCTGAGTTCAGGGGTTTTTTTTCTTTAAGATTTTATTTATTTATTTGAGAGAAAGAGAGGGAGAGAGAGACAGAGCGTGCGCACGTGAGCTGGGGGAGGGACAGAAGGAGAGGGAGAAGCAGGCTTCCCGCTGAGCAGGGAGCCCAACGTGGGGCTCGATCCCAGGACCCTGGGTTAGTGACCTTAGCTGAAGGCAGACACTTAACCGGCTGAGCCACCCAGGCGTCCCTGAACTCAGGTTTTGATCTCAGGGTTCAAGCCCCACATTGGGCTCCGTGCTGGGCATGGAGCCTACTTAAATAAAAGAAATATGTATTAATAATAATAATAAAATAATGAGTTGGTTCTCTAGCATCCTCCATGTTGACCAGTGAGATTTTTAATTCCTTATAAACTCGTATTTTAACATATGTAATGTACTTCAATCCATTTTTGTTATTCTGTATGATGGCTAAATTGTGCTGACTTTGGCCAGTGGAAACCTTTTCAGGTTGGCTACAGCTACCTTTGGACATAGCCAGTATTTCTGTTAGGTCCTTGTTTTCTTGTACGGGATGTTTTAGGCTTATCTGGTACATCCGTTCTGAATCAGGAATCAGCCATTTCTCTAAGGAGCCTTGGTTCTTTTTAGTGGGAAATGGTATTTAGAGATGATAGTTTGCACATTAGAGGTGCTCATTGCCACTAGGTTGGTTACTGTTTCTAGGACTTTTCAATGGATAGAGCCAGGAAATGTATGTATATTTTTAATGAGAGACGTATCGTGAGTTCATACTATTTCCATTTCAAATTTATGAATGTAGGCTCTTAGCTTTGATTTTAAAGCTGTATCTCTTCTTTCTTACATTGGAACTCATGGCTCTAACCAGTATCCACATGAGTACTTGCTAGAATAATACCAATATTACCATCAACAGTATGACTGCTGAAAACAGTAAAAACTTTTTTTCTAGTTTTTTTGTGTCTTTAGAGTATATTCCAGTGGGGATTTTTCGTCAAATTATTGTATTTGAAATAATTCCCCTCTTTTAGTTTTGCCACAAATTTGATATATACTTAGCTTCAATTGGTTCATTTTGCCTTTGGTCTTGTGGGAACTGACATTTTTTCCTTTTTGATTTAATTTTATTACAAATGTATTAAAACCCTTATGTGGTTCCAAAGTCAGCGCTATAAAACAATGTACAGAAAAGTCTAACTTCTAATTCCTGTTACCTTCATCCTGTTCCCTCCCTCTCACTATACATAACCAATCAAAATTTGAATACACACACACACACACACACGTATATACACATTCACGTCTCCTCCCTCACTAGGTAAATCATCGCACGTTACTCTTCTCCGCCTGGCTTTTTTTTTTTTTTTTTAACATTCTTAGTTTATTGATCCTCTCATGAAAAATATGCACAACCAGATAAAGCCACTGCAGCATCTTTACTCCTTCTGTTGTCCAATCTCCAGCTCACTCTTTGCCAGCACCAACATTGGCTTTTGCAGTCCCCCTGACTTTCTTCATTCTGTTCTTGCGTTCCTTTC